CCTGTTTACTGCCAGTCATCCCCTTGAATATGAAGCGCCTTAGATGTATGTCCTTCAAATAAGATAGGGCGCTATATAAATGACAAAAGACCTCTATGATATATTTTAAGTTTAAGAGGTTATGTTGTCCTAAAGTGAACGGGATACAAGCCACGTGTACTCTTTTTCAACACTGCTTTCCTAAACATTGCATGTCGCTGTTCAACATCCTTGCAAGATCAAGCTTGATTTTTAAGCTTCAGAAAAACTCAGCGGTGGATTTTTTCTTTTTCTATCATTGTTATATAAGTGGCGACAATTCTAACAATAATGATTTGTAAAAAAGATTAGTTTTCCGGTACTATACGTCTGGGAATAGTTTTCCAAACGTCACTCAAATCTGCAATTTTACTGAAGATATAACATTTATAGACAGACTATAAATGTACTATCTCTGTATATATTCACAATAGGGATGTGCAAATCATATTGTCTACATACAAGTTTAAATGTGATCGATTCAATTAAACAACATGCAGGCCGTTCGCTGTTTGAAATTAAAGATTGCACTGTTTTACATATAAAACAGAGTTACAGTCTAATAGGAGGCCACACTATATAACAAAGAACTATAAAATGATGACAGACTAACCTGTATCGTATTATTGGATGACCGTCGATTTTCCAGGTAAATATAGATAATCCGCAAGTTAAACATCCACAAAAAAAACCGTGAGTAAACACAGGATATTATCTCCCGGCCATAGTTATACAATCAATATTGTATAATAAAAGTATCCTATTTTCCGAGAAATTCAATAAAAGTATCTGCACACAGCCCTCACACGGTGAACGGGCATCTCACTAGTGCTACACTAATCCAGGCGACGGACACTTTACACACTGAATTAGGAATCAATCCCTGGTACATTAACAAACTTGTATACACGTATAGCGTCAGGCAGGCTCACTGCACCAAATACAGTATACAGCTGACTGACAGTATCACCAGTTACCAGTAGGCTCTTCTCGTGCTCTGCAATCTCTCTTCTACTACTTCAAAATGGGACCTTTAAAACTTAATTACGTGAACAGGAAAAATGAGATAGTTTTATTTTATCATACAGTATTTCACAACTATATAATCCGAACTGTAGTTTTTTTTTCCTGGCCATCATAGAATGTGATGGCCAGAGTTGTACTTTGGGAATTCCGTTACGTAGTATCAATAACTCATAATGGCTGACAGTTTATCAAAAGACCACATCATTTTTGCTATTTAATCCTTAACTCATAACAACAGCAGGTGTATATTTACAAGTTACAATGACATATTTAGACTTTGACATTTATCTCGTCATGACTGCCATTCATCTATATCTCACAGTAGCTTTGACATTTATCTCGTCATGACTGCCATTCATCTATATCTCACAGTAGCTTTGACATTGAATTTAACGTCACAGTAAGTTTGACTATTTAAAGGTCAATTCATATTCACCTCTGACATTTATCTTTAGATAACATTGACATTTGACATATATATGTTTATAGATTACAATGACCTTAAACATTTTTCTATAGATTTCTGCGACATAAATGATTAAACGTTTATCTTAAGATAACTGTGACCTTTGATAAGTATCTATATATAGCTTTAACATTTGACATTTATCTTTTGAAAAAAAAGACATGTAACTTTTGTCTATTGCTAACTGTGACCTTTGACATTTATCTATAGATAACTGTGACCTTGATAGTTATCTATAAAAACAGTGGACTATGACATTTATCAATAGATAAATGTGACCTTGACATTTATCTATAGATAACAGTGACCTTTGGCATTTATCTATATATACCTGTGACCTTGATAGTTATATATATGTAACAGTGGACTATGAGATTTATCAATAGATAAATGTGACCTTTGAAATTTATCTATAGATAACTGTGACCTTTGACATTTATTTATAGATAACAGTAAACTTTGACATTTATCTATAGATAACTGTGACCTTTGACATTTTTTTATAGATAACTGTGACCTTTGACATTTATCTATAGATAACAGTAAACTTTGACATTTATTTATAGATAACAGTAAACTTTGACATTTATCTATAGATAACTGTGACCTTTGACATTTATATATATATATAACTGGTGACAGCTCTAGTTTGTAACTGTTATCCGCATTATAAGCTTACAAAGGATAACACTTGTTTGGTCTAAATCTGAGCATTATCGTGACGATAAAAATGTTCTCACATCATCCTAATTATGGCCTTGAGGTATATTTGAAGCCTTATTAAAAGTTGCATTAATAGGTTTTCAAAATCTAGAATACCATAATAATATGGTTTTGTTATATAGGATATAGGATCAAACACAAGTTTCCATTGCCTTAGATTAATAAAACGAGTCCAATATCTTTCCTTTCAGCGAATCCCAGCAAATTTCCATCAATCTAATAAATAATACAAACAACCGTCAGATCCCTTTATCCCATAATCAGCTAGTTTTGCGAATATTTCGAAAAAGAGGATTTCTAGGCCATTACGGAAGTATAACATTTTGTCATTTTGTCTCATTTGCATCATAATATATTCTAAGTGTGTGTGACGTCATTTACTTATCATTTGATGACGTCACAATAGTTGATATTGCAGGAGAGAAGAAGTCAACCTATATTTTGGGTATGTTGACTGAATATAACACGACAGTCTTACATGTATAATGTAACTTATGTTTTTAGACATTAATTATGCTGTATATGACAACATATGTACAGTGTTCGTCTCGGACGGTTTATCAGCCAGTTAATGATAGTCAAAGGGAGGTAACCACATCTTACACTTACAACAACACCTTCCTTATAGCAGCCTCGATATCCAGGGGTTACGCTCACTTCGGATTCGATCTCTACAACCCTGGATTATGTCATAGCAAAATTGAAGGCACGAAGATAGCTGTTTGATTGGTTTCAGGTGACAAAAACTGACCAGTCGCTAGGCTGATACCTGTCCTTTGACAGCCTTTAAAGCCTGTCAATTTTTACCGTTACGTGACTGCGAGATTATTTTATTGCACATCTAAGGATCGAACTAGTCTTCTTGTCTCATCAACAAGGTGGCGCATACCGAGCCTGCCATACGACACAGAACATACTATGTTATTTCGGCACCTACAATCAGATCAGTTTAACTCTGGGCTGAATGAGAATCTTAATTAATTTGCATTGTGTATCCGAGTGCGGCTTGGATAATCAGAAATGGTCCTGTACCGGTAATTCAATCGTTGCTTAGCGTACATACCTATGTATGTTATGATGATTTGTAGAGCGGAGCGGGAGTTGTACAAATGTAAATTATATTTCTATAACATAAAAGTGTCATTACTTAACTCACCATTTACCGTGTCCGTTATATATTTAACCGTTTACCAAAACCCCGCTAGGTGTCAGTATTGCAGTTATTTTGTGCCGCGTTATATTATATTTATAAGTTATGGTCTTTTGTTTGGGGTGAATATAACATGATAAATTTATATTGACCGATACGAAAGAAAAGTCAACATCAATATTAAGGGCTGTATAACCATATATTTTCCGAAACAGAAGTTTTTAATAATTTTATGATTTATGTTTAATACTGTTTTAATAATTATACAAGATGAAACGTATGAAAATCTAACGGAGGAAAGTACTGCATTTGGCAGGGAGCATTGTGATATACCATTGCAATGACGTCATTATTATCTTTATTTCCGCCAATGTGAAGATTACATAAACAGAATAGCTACATATAAGTATCAATCACTATATGTACGTGAACATTGGAAAGTACACATTTATCGTTATTTTGATGTGTACATATATATTTTATAAGAGAAAGAAGATGTACATTATAATTGGCATCCTTACTTAAATATATATAATCAAATGATTTGTAGTCATTTTTTAATATTTGATACACATATGTTACTACCCCTAATATTAAATAATCAATATCTTTAGATGGCAATTCATAATTAAATTCACTACCTAATAAGGTTTAAGGCAAATCAAAATCTGGTAAATTATGCAAATGAACATTAAATTGAATAACCTAAATACTAATTAATGTGTCATCTAATATTGTTAACTGACCACTTATCCGTGTAATATAAATTTAGGATGAACTCCTTTGAGAAGTTTAAACAAATTATATATCATTTTTTTTTATTAAAGATATTTTTCAAAAAAGAGTCAGTGACATAAGTAAATATGCTAAAGAAAAAAACAAGAAACAATAAAATGTCAGTATTTTGTTATATGATGAAAGGATACCAATTTGACGTAATATGTTAATCCTGGTAAATTTTGTTTTGTTCCGACTGTATGCAGAAAACAATCATTCATTATCTCCGTAGTGTGTTATCAGAAGTCTATGAACGTTTGAAAAATTGATAAGTTTAGTAGTCTCCCGTAAAAAGAGGAAGAGCAAATTCTTAAACTAACGCTATTATCTAACAAAGGCAGTTTTTGTTACCCTTACCCCTTATTTGAAAGAAAAAAGAAATATTCCTTTTCTTAAATATGTAAATATTCAATGGATCAAGATAATTTGTTTCTCTTCATAAAACTGACGCCAACATGTGTTTTTTGTGCTTCTCCGTTATTTATTTTTTTGTATTATTCTTCACCAGGATAATAAATCAATAGAGCTTCAGTCGAACTAAAAAAGTAATGAAATAACAACTTTTAATAATTTTTCCACTTTGTTGCATATTATATTATTAACATTGAACAATCAAATCTTGCATAGCAAAAATCAACTTGCTACAGTTAAAAACAGTGATACAATGACACTTTTAGTGACGTAACAACAAAAATGGTTATCATTGCATGAAATACACATTTTTTTCGGATATTCAAATGACCGCCGAATTAGTAATTTTTTAAAATGTAAAAAAAAGATTCTGGAAATACATGTAATAGACATGTATTTTTTTTACACTTTTTTCAGATGCATACGAAAATAAATTTTATAGAAACCCGTTTCACTAGTTCAATACCAGATTCGAACGTGAATTGAATCTCAGATGAGTACATTCTTAAATTATTCAGAGCAAATGTCTTTTTTATCAACTGTAAGAAATAAGAAAAAAATCTGAGCGGAACTTAGTGTGATATTAATATTAAATGTGATATAAAAAAGCATATTTAGTGTGTATACAATTTTTTCAAAATAATTAAGAAATAAACAAAACTATACATAACAAATGTTCGACAAAAACAGTAATACAACAACCAAATCGTTACAGAACTACGTAAAAACATTGTACTTGTGTTAATACTATTAGAAAACGGAGAGAAATATTGATTTGCCCTCTCGTGAAATTATCCACGATGTAAAAACGATTTATTATAATGTGTAGTCTGTTGTTCTTATTTTCCTGAAACTTTTGATTTTAATGAAACAAATTGTCTGAGCTCTTAACTGCAGCTAAAAACAGACATTTTCAAATTTAGGCTCCGCCTCTTTCTTTTTATAGTCTGGGCCCTGGTTTAACGCTATTTTCCGACAGTTGGTGTGTTCCCGGAAAAAGCCATGTTGACGTAGGACCTGGTATACCCTACAACAGATATTCACAAAGAAATTATATTACTGAAGTATTATCTTACATTGAATAATATACAAATCAAATATACGTCATTTTACAGTGTAATATCAAGAAATGTTGCTTAAAGTTCTTTCTTTACATTACTGAATTAAAATGATACAATTACAAATACTGTTTGTTTCTTACTCGATTGCTGACTTTCAATACATTGTGTTGTTGAAACGTTTCATACCTATACAGTAAGAAGATAAGAGGACCATTTTGATTGACTATAAGCGGTGTTCTGTGATGTCACACTGTTAACACTGAACATCCCTATATTACCGTCCTCTGTTCCATGTATCCTGTCATAAACACTGAATATCTCTATCTAATAGTTAACTTACCGTCCCCTGGTCCATGTACCTCGTCGTAAAGACTGGGGGCGGGCTGATCTTTTATCATATCATCATTTCTGTAACACGAATGAGAGAGTTAAAACAAACGGGTATCATTGGATATTATATTTATATGGATAACGACTATTTAATGGAATTCACAACAAACTACTAGTAACGTTGAAAAGTAAGTTTCATCAGACAACTGACAGTGTAGTATATACGGATGACGTTTGACGTATGTGTTTCAGAGAGTGTAATATCCGTATGTTGTTATGGTATTTACTCCAACTTACCTGTCTAAGCGGCCTTGTTCACCTACAACAAAAGGACATCGACATCAATACTCAATATATCTTTTGTGTGATACTCTTTTTCAATTACCAAAATCCTTTCTTATGTATGTGACACTTAAATTAAAATTGTAGAAATGACAAAGTCAGCATTCGATATTGCTTAAAGCGCATCCAAATAAAGTAAAATTTAAATTTAAAACCGTGTACGTGCGGTGATAGGGATATATGCTGCATGCATTACGCAGTCAACAAACCAAACTGTCCTATATACAATTATACATGTTAAAACTTCCCTTTAATTACATTAACATATTGATATCAAGACAAAATTGTAATTTAGAATTTATAACCTTATTTTTAACTGCACATTCACTTGCATGTTACTTTAGGCAACGCTAAACACGGTCATCACCTTACCGTTAGGAGGTTGTCCGAGCGCCTGATACACAGATGGTCCGGCGATATCAGCCGAGTCTAGTTGTTGGTATCGAGATCTGTTGAGATACAAAAAATAGTTTTGTCGAACAAATCTGATACTTACACTACTTACAACTCATTCCTATGTTTTTTGTCCAACCTGACATTTTACTAGTAACCAAACGTACTATTTATAGAATGTAACTGAGGCTTCAATTATAACGAAGAAATGACCATGAGCCAAGAAATATGTGCATTATATTTCTGTAAAACCGATCCATTCATCAAAAAGTTTTACTACAGAGGGAACACACATTTATTCTGTAAACTTGAGACCTCCACATAAAAATGTGAGTAAATTGTGTTATCGAAGTTTTTTTACACTAACAAATACTGTTATTAGTCATATTATCAGTCATCCTCGCATACGTTATATCTGAATTATCGAACGAGGGAGGACCTACTTTAGGTAGACAATGTGTTTATCTATGATAGCATTACCTTTCGTCTTCATCGTGGATTGTACTGACTGAAAATTAAAATTCAATATTATTTTATTGGAGAATACTACATCCGATGCATATGAAGGTGTTGGAAAACGAAAGTGAAAGAAGGAAAGATAAGCAAAGGGACACTTGAACAATACAAGGAAACAGAACCAAGAGTTCCAAAAAGAAAAAAAAAATCTGCTTCATCAATGAACATCTAGGTCACATCTAATATCACGTCCTCAAAGTAAGAAGCAGTGTAGTGCAACGTAATCACAGGACACACTGATGAGCATGATAAAAACACCGAGCTCTTATCGTATAAGGAGATAACATATTTTCCACTGAGATCTTGACCTCGACCATTAAGTTCCCCATCTCCTATATTTCTCGATGCATTGTGTTGTAAGTTTCTCCGTTTAAACTGTTGGTAAATGATATATGGATGCAGTGTAGGTAACAAGTGACAGGCGAGCGCCAAATGCCCGGAATGGGAATGGCAATTTTTATTCGCCGTCATCTTACAAGAAAATGATAATTTGCTATTTACCTGAATGATGAACCCCATGAAAGTGACTTGATTCCTCAATTTTCGAAAATTTGCTGGAAATTGAACAGGCCTTTATTGAATGAATTAATTATCAAAATGTGATATCTATTCTCCCAATTACTAAACGGCTTGTATCATATGCGGTAGTTACACTGATTTAAAATGTTAAGATGACATGTAATGGAGTGATCTAACTATGAAACTTGTATCTATGTTATTTAGCCATTTCGACTGATCTTATCAATTATTATGGTACCAAATAATTATTTTCTGCATGCACAGTATGTTATGATTTTATCCCGACAAAAATATCATTGAAAAACATAACGGTTGAAACTTCTATGACGGAGAAAGGGCAATAAAAGTACACAGACAGAACTGCATTTTGTTAATATAGAAAATATACTTACAAACATGGCAGTTTTTTGTTTCCTAAAACGAACACATTATTTGTGGTAATTTTGTGCAATTGAAATATATATGATGGATTTATATTTTTATTTTGCAAATATACAATATTTTGCTAATTGTAGATTAATCAATTCACATATATTACCACATTTCGGGAACTATTAAGTCGACATCAAATACATTTCCTTACAAAAATCCTTGCAAATCATGTTCATTGGATTTTGAATAAACACAATATATATAATTTTCAGGACTTTCAGTTATATACTCACGACTTATGAATATCCAAATAACGACGGTGACTATCAGCAGGATCAACGATATACACAACATCACAGCCCCAGCTGTATACAGGCGTGTTGAATCTATATAAACAATGTATGTTTTAGTTTAAAACAGTATATGCCCCTCCTCTCATAACAAGAACATCTCGGTAGAGAAAAGCGGAAAAAATAAAACTAGTGGGAATGCTAAAAGGACATTATATATCAAACAATATTGTTTAAACTCAAATTACTTGCAAGTTGTAAGGATGTGGGAAGAACAACTTTGTGTGCATTTTAAATTGATGATTCCTATAATAAATCATATGGATCCTTAGCGCCCTTATTTGTCTATGGGTTTTTGTTAGCACATCCTTTCGGTGGTTTATACATAACTATACTGACCTCGATCGTCAGTCTCTGTTTCCACGTCCTGTTGGGGGTTAACATATGTATATACTTACCTCGATCGTAGGTCTCTGTTACCACGTCATGTCAGGGGTTTATATTTGTCTGTACTTACCTCGATCGTCGGTCCCTGTTACCACGACATGTCGGGGGTTTATATATATCTATACTTACCTCGATCGTCCTATTACGAGGTGTACATATACAAATACTTACTGCTTTCATTGGTCTCTTGCTCTTTGATACTGTGTCCTGTCATTTGGTCTATATTCATACTTTGGTACTGCGTCTTGGTGTTTGGTATATATATATATATGTTTTGATACTTGCCGCTGTCATCAATCTCCTGCCGTTTGGTCTTGGTTATTTGCCCTTTGGTACTGCGTCCTGCCGTGTGGGCTAGATATATATAGGATCTTAAATGGGTTTTCATTTCATATAAGATTTTATGAAACGAGTCTTAGGAGTTTCTATTTTTGCGAGCCATGGCGGGCAAAAATTAAAACTTCGGTACGAGTTTCATAAAAGCTCATATGAAATGAAAACAAACTCATAAAACTTACTTTTGGACAGGTTTTAAAGCCAACATGTAGATGGCTTTATCAAACGGAAAACAGCCATTTTGTTGCACCATTCACAGTTTATGACGTCACGTCATTGTCCATATTATGACGTCACAATCGATTTCTGACTGGCACATCCAATGAAAAACGCTCCATGGTATATTAAGCTAGTGACATATGTAAAAATATTACACGGGCGAATTCACTGGATAACAGGCCGATTATGTGATAAATATTGATACTTACCGCCGTCATCAATTGTCCGCTTTATGGTGCAGCCTCCTGACGTCGGGTTTACAGATGGAACTGTCGTGGTAGTAGTCGTGGGTATAGTGGTATGTTGAGTTTCTGTAAAACAGTCATGCATAATTATCCTATGTTCTTATACGTAAATCAGGCCCCAGCAAACACACGCTCCCTGGTTGTTCTTATGACTTACAGTTGTAATGGATATTTTTGATTTTTTCAACTATTTGTTATTTTAATGGTTAAATTTCCTGATTAAAATCAGTTTTGAGGTTTCATACAATGAATGTTTTCAATAATATTAAAATAACGAAGTACTTGCCGAATCAGTGCCCAGCAAACACACGTCCTCTACTATGTATGGTTTTATTGCCATGGAATGTTTATTTTTGAAACTATTCGAATTTGAACCGTTAATGTGGTAGATTAAAATCAGTATTTGGTTTTACACAATGGATGTTTTCCATGATATTACATAACGTTTAGAGTCCCGTCTCTGTTGAAAGATATTTCAATCACAGATTAATCATATAACAGGCAGTGTGTCAGAGTTGTCTCCCTTATAACGTTCGAGGAGTCAGGTATTTTTTCCAAATATTTGGTGAGTGATAAAAAGCCGCGTTTCCTTTTATTTAAGGAATGATTTTTATTTTTTCAACATTTATGAGGGCATAACAACAATGGGTTTATGGACATATTGAATGCATCGCGTTAGCGATTCATATAAAATATGTCCAAAAACCCATTTTTGTTATGACCTCATAAATGGTGAAAAAATAAATATCATTCCTTATATTTACATTGACGAATCCTTTCAGTGGATCGATATAACAACGAATAAAACAAATAAACAGGGTTTGTTCCTGCTTATACACGGGTGCAACGCAGTGGCGAGAATAGGGTTTTTTCGCGGGGAAATGTGACACTATCGTGAGAGATCTTAGCAACCGTCAACAACAATAACACAACAAAATGTAGTTCCATATTCAATGTTTGTTTGTAGCACAGGACACGTGAATACGTGGATAGTTCACAAAGCACAGTTCAATAATATTTTAAGATGTAAGAATTAAGCATCTAGGTCGGTCGGTCCGAGTGAGTAGTTTTAGTAATGTATTACTACGCAGTGTGGGCAGGTTACTATCAGTTCCCACGGGCTGAGATTCTTTGAACACCTGTGTTATGCATTTATGAATGTAATTTTTGTCAATGGGTCTAAGCATACAGAATGTAAATATTGTATAATAATATGATTTTACTATCCTCGATTCGAGGGGTTGGGCTCACTTACAATCACTGTCCATATAACCATATTCAAGGAGTGCAGGTGAGCACAGAACATGAGAGGGCGTAACCATTGGTATTTCGAGGATTTGGTATTATATTCTCTACAAGCAACAACTTGAATTAATGACGACTCAGCATCATCAACTTATCCCTCATGCACGGAAAATAACGATTATATTGACATTACTCATTAGTTACGAAGTCAGTTTCTGGTAGTATTCTTAGCTTCACTTTAGTAATAATTTCCCTTCCCCATATCGTTAATACATATTTATTGTTATATAGTGCAGCGTTAAACTGGCATCACTGTATTATCTAGTCCTACCTATGGTAATGCTGACTGTACTGGTCATGTTGTACGTGTTCCCGTTAAAGTTGTTCGTGGCCTCACAGACATAGTCTCCTGATTGGGCAATCTTGATGTTGGTCAGTTGAAGCTGTGCTGAGGTGCCGACCTGTCTTCTATGAACCCACCAAACATACATAGGAGTAGGGTTACCCTTGGCAGCACAGGTCAAGGTCAAGGTGGTGTCCTCGTAATGAGCTGCTGCGTTTGGACTCTTTATAATGGTAGGCGCTCTCACTTTGTCTGTTTGACATAAAACAACATTATTCATGTACAACTTAAGATACGGATAAAGAGCTAACAGACAACCTTAGTATCATAATATTCCTTTCATCTAAACAACTTAGTTAGAGTCAAAGAATTATTTTCTTCATTTATTACACTTATTTATATGACCAAAGACATTTGTAACGCTAACATTTATCACCATATCATATGTTTTTCCTTTTTACTGTTATCAACAGAAAGGAGATATTGTTCAAAATGACTCAATACTTTCGCCATAACAGCATACAACATCATTAAGAATCCTTTTATAATTGATAACCAAATAATAAGATACACATTTACTTACAAAACACGTTGATGACATCGGTCAGTTTAAAGTAGGCGGTGTCTGTGGGGTCGCTGATGGTTACGTGTTGTAAGGCACACCTAACAAAGATACCGTTGTCGTCTTTGGTCATCGGTATAGAGATGACACTACTGCCGGTGAAGGTACAGTCGGTACTAGGGGATGTCTGTGTGGTAGAGACTATGGTGGTACCAGTAGGGACTGTGGTACCTTTGTACCTGGTCCATGAGAAGGTCCCTGCCGGCCGACCAACGTTACCGGTACAAGTGAACGTGACCGTCTGTCCCTCCTCAACATTAGATGACGGCACCACTTCCACTTCATTAAATTCTATGGCCTTAGGCTTTGCTGTGAACATCAAGTAGAGGTATGTATACATGGAACATTTATATACATACACGAGTATTTTGGGAATTTATCATCTGTAATAAACATGTAAGAATGATGTGAAGTAGGTCGAACATCTAGGTAAACAATAACTTATATTTATATACCATTAACCTTCCATACATATATAGAGCGCAACAAAATAAGTTCCTTTTACGATATTATATTAGGTTCAGTACCCCTCATTAAGTGCTTCAAGAAATATCTCTAAAAGGGCCAAGTTGTGATAAACGCTGTAACAAAAAGGTTTCCCTGCGGTCCATAGAAGCTAAACCCTTCTATGGTTAAAATTCTTTGCAAGGAAATGCCTTCTTGTGTATATTTTTTCGGATATAATTAAAGATCTGACTACAAGTAATTTATCGTTGGTACTACACGAACATTAAAAAACATATATTAATAGATCATGGATATCATAATGATATAAACCAACACTTACCTCTGACTGTAAGACTGGTGACGCTGGCCGGTTTGATCAGTGCACCATTACTAACTCCAACTACATAACATTCATATTTACGCTCATCACCACATACCACACTTGTAAACTTGATCTTAGCTGTGAGGGAGGAGTCTGTCGGGTTTGTTAGAACTACTCGTCCAGAAACAGGGTTGGTGAAATTATTTAACCATGCATGCCTCTGTGATGATCCTGGAGGATAAAACTGTGCTATATGTTTATATGTTTCAGAGTCTTTTGAGGTCTCTCTGTTCCATAAAATGGAAAGCACTGTATCAACGGATGCAAGACTATATGTACACACAAGTTCCACTTCATTGTTCCCCAGAAGACCCACTGGGTTAACTGTCGTTGTGACAGAAATATCACCTTGTATACCTGAAATGGTCAACACAATTCATAGTTATGTAAATGGTGGGTTGCATTTAATGGTATGTCCATCAGTCCGAGCACCTCTAATACTTACAATACAAGTATCATTGCAGCAGGTATGTATAAGTACTTGGAAATATTGATGTAACATTCTGAACAATTTATTTTTTATTACAATTTCGCGGTTATTTTCAAATATTGGTCAATGTTTAAAAACTCGTTTGTAATACCGTCGTTTTTTGGCGTCATGGAATGCGTTAACCGGATACTCAAAAGGACATACTACCTTAACCCTCGACAAGATGTGTAAGCTGTTTCATGGAACATGGCCTGTCTCACCATACAATAGTAAATCCTATGACGCACGTGCGGACTCATACACGGACGCACGCATTTATACTTTTTCACAGGGATAAACAAAGGTGTACTAATATATACATATATGTTTAAGTACCTGAAAATGTTTATGTAATGATAAGGTCGTTTGAGTCAAGTACACGTGTCCTGTTAGGAAAACATTCCCTTTGTCTCTTGTGTTCTGTCCGATGAGTGTTCGTTACTGTCCGTGCAGGTGGTTTTTTTATATCTCCGAGGAAAAACGTATATAACTGTTGTTAAACAAAATCTGAAATTCACAAAACAAATGCCCTAGTAAAGTTTGAGCTACAGTATAATTAACATTACTTTCCCGAAAAACATTTTACATTACGGTAACGTTGAACATATTTATGTACATGGATATTTAATTTCATCTACTATTAAGTTGTGTTAGTGACTATAGTTATATGTTCCGTGGACGACGTCCAGTAAGTATATGTCCTATATACTCCACCATTAAGGAGACACGGTAGTCTAGTGGTAAGACGCCGGGCTCGTGACCGAAGGGTTGTGGGTTCGAGGCATGTCACGTTACTGCGTTGTACCTTTGAGAAATATACTTTACTCCGCTTGTTCAATGTTCCATTTCGCGTCATTTTCAAAACTTGGTTGGTAAGAGTTTAAAACGTCGTTTGTACTAACGCCATTTATGACGTCAATTAATGTGGATACACAAAGGAACATACTACCTTAACCACAGACAAGTTGTGTTAAAACCGTCTCATCACACAATAGTAAGTCCTACGACGCACGCACGGACTCACACACAGACGCACGCATTTATATTATTCTTTTTGAAGTTTAATTCGAGGTACGATAAATTTGATTTATCTTTACGAAGTCAAGGTCTAATCACGTATTTAAAAAAATCAATCCTCAATATTTATAGATAACAGAACAACATATTCGTTTTGACATATAATGATTTTTTTTCAACTCAATTTGGGTCAATTTAGGTGAACTACTATGGCTGTTTAACTCATGACTCTAGGCATGGTAGTTACAGCATAATAGTTTTGTTTCGTAAAAAAAATTTCACGTGTTAAGATTACATAGAATCTATATCAGTGCAAATACCAACAATACATATAGTGTGTCTTAAAATGAGAAAAACTTTCAGATTCATTATTGTAAGTCAAGCTAACCATTACTTCCTGTTTGAAGCTTGAGTAGTTTAAAAATCCACTCTGACCCGTTATAATAATTCTATTCAAATTAGATTACATTTCATAGTAGGCGACGTTAGTTTACTTCCTGTTTCAGATTTAAATACTTCGTATCCTTTACATGGATAAACTTTACTGATCCATATAGCTCTTACTTTTCTATAAATGTATCAATGTATTATTCAGTGACATGAAACACCGCGTCTTCGAAGTATTTGTTATGTATGACAAAGTGGAATTTATTTATTATTCCAATGATATAGGGTCGTGGCAATGTACCATTGTTACAACACAGACTGGTGACGATACACATCTGAGGAGAGGTCAACACAACTAGTGGTTATATGACGTCATAGAAGGACGCTAGACCCTGATAAAAATAGATATTTAGTGGTTTACTTACCCGAGTAGAGACACCAAACTAACGCCGACACAATCCACACAGCAGCCATGTTGACGGTGTGTTTTAACCCGGAACATTGTTCTGAATGTAGACTGGTTGGTTGGTTGGTTGGTTGAAGGGTTTTGCGCCTACACGAATCTGACCTTAAGGGTTTCAACTCACTGACGGAAGTCGGTGTTCTGTCGGCGATGCATCGCTCGATGAATACTTGTATCTCACTTAAAATATACGGTTTGCCTTATTGACCGCCGTTAGCTTGCCATGACGTATGGGGTACGTTTGATAACGAGTCCATATATAAAGAAGCTGTTACAAGGACGTTAAACATAAAACAAAAAAATAGTTTAAGTATTATGTTAAATGCAGTCAATTCGATTGTGTAATAACGTTTTATTTTTTAATATTATATCACTCCAACTTGTCTGGCAACGACCAACATTTTCCATTCCCGTATCACTGCTGTACACGGGTATATATACAATGTAGGTGTGTTTACTGACCTTGTCACTACAATGTACGGTATACCTGTAATGTAGTTGTGTTTACTCACAATCTCACTACAATGTACGGTACATCTGTAATGTAGGTGTGTTTATTCACCTTGTCACTACAATGTACGGTATACCTGTAATGTAGGTGTGTGTACTCGCCTTGTCCCTACAATGAACGGTACACCTGTAATGTAGGAGGGTTTACTCACCTTGTCACTAAAATGTACGGTATACCCGTAATGAAAGTTGTGTTTACTCACAATCTCACTCCAATGTACGGTACATCTGTAATGTGACATCTGTAATGTAGGTGTGTTTATTCACCTTGTCTCTACAATGTACGGTACATCTGTAATGTAGATGCGTTTACTCACAATCTCACTACAATGGACGGGATAACTGTAATGTTGGTGTGTTTACTCACCTTGTCACTATACAGTAATGTCTACCTGTAATGTAGTTATGATTACTCACGTTGTCACTACAATGTACGGTACACCAGTAATGTAGGTGTGTTTACTCACATTGTCACTACAATGTACGGTATACCTGTAATGGAGGTGTGTTTACTCACAATATCACTACAATGTACGGTATACCTGTATTGTAGTTGTGTTTACTCACAATCTCACTCCCATGTATGGTATACCTGTAATGTAGGGGTGTTTACTCACCTTGTCACTACGATGTACGGTATACCAGTAATGTAGGTGATTTTACTCATCTTGTCACTACAATGTACGGTATCCCTGTAATGTAGTTGTGTTTACTCACCTTGTCACTACGATGTACGGTATACCAGTAATGTAGGTGATTTTACTCATCTTGTCACTACAATGTACGGTACACCTGTATTGTAGGTGTGTTTACTCACCTTGTCACTACTATGTACGGTACATCTGTAATGTAGGGGTGTTTACTCACCTTGTCACTACTATGTACGGTACATCTGTAATGTAGGGGTGTTTACTCACCTTGTCACTACGATGTACGGTATACCAGTAATGTAGGTGATTTTACTCATCTTGTCACTACAATGTACGGTATACCTGTAATGGAGGTGTGTTTACTCACAATATCACTACAATGTACGGTATACCTGTAATGTAGGTGTTTTTACTCACCTTGTCACTACAATGTACACTACAATGTACGGTACATCTGTAATGTAGATGCGTTTACTCACAATCTCACTACAATGTACGGTATACCTGTAATGAAAGTTGTGTTTACTCACAATCTCACTACCATGTATGGTATACCTGTAATGTAGGTGTGTTTACTCACCATCTCACTACAATGTTCGGTATACCTGTAATGTAGGTGTGTTTACTCACAATCTCACTACAATGTACGGTATACCTGTAATGGAGGTGTGTTTACTCACAATATCACTACAATGTACGGTATACCTGTAATGTAGGTGTGTTTACTCACCTTGTCACTACAATGTACGTTACCCCAGTAATGTAGGTGTGTTTACTCACCTTGTCACTACAATGTACGGTATTCCTGTAATGTAGGTGTGTTTACTCACCTTGTCACTACAATGTACAGTCTACCTGTAATGTAGTTATGTTTACTCACCTTGTCACTACAATGTACGGTACACCTGTAATGTAGGTGTGTTTACTCATCTTGTCACTACAATGTACGGTACACCACTAATGTAGGTGTGTTTACTCACCTTGTCACTACAATGTACGTTACCCCAGTAATGTAGGTGTGTTTACTCACCTTGTCACTACGATGTACGGTATACCAGTAATGTAGGTGAGTTTACTCATCTTGTCACTACAATGTACGGTACATCTGTAATGTGGGTGTGTTTACTCACCTTGTCACTACAATGTACGGTACACCAGTAATGTAGGTGTGTTTACTCACCTTGTCACTACAATGTACAGTATACCTGTAATATAGGTGTGATTACTCATCTTGTCACTACAATGTACGGTACATCTGTAATGTGGGTGTGTTTACTCACCTTGTCACTACAATGTACGGTATACATGTAATGTAGGTGTGTTTACTCACCTTGTCACTACGATGTACGGTATACCAGTAATGTAGGTGAGTTTACTCATCTTGTCACTACAATGTACGGTATACCAGTAATGTAGGCGTGTTTACTCACCTTGTCACTACAATGTACGGTACGCCAGTAATGTAGGTGTGTTTACTCACCTTGTCGCTACAATGTACGGTACACCTGTAATGTAGGTGTGTTTACTCACCTTGTCACTACAATGTAGCTAAACTCACCTTGTCACTACAATGTACAGTATACCTGTAATGTAGGTGTGATTACTCATCTTGTCACTACAATGTACGGTACATCTGTAATGTTGGTGTGTTTACTCACCTTGTCACTACAATGTACGGTACACCTGTAATGTAGGTGTGTTTACTCACCTTGTCACTACAATGTACGGTACATCTGTAATGTAGGTGTGTTTATTCACCTTGTCACTACAATGTACGGTACACCACTAATGTAGGTGTGTTTACTCACCTTGTCACTACAATGTACGGTATACATGTAATGTAGGTGTGTTTACTCACCTTGTCACTACAATGAACAGTACCCATGTAATGTAGGTGTGTTTACTCACCTTGTCACAACAATGTACGGTACATCTGTAATGTAGGTGTGTTTACTCACCTTGGCACTACAATGTACGGTATACATGTAATGTAGGGGTGTTTACTCACCTTGTCACTACAATGTACGGTACACCTGTAATGTAGGTGGGTTTACTCACCTTGTCACTACAATGTACGGTACATCTGTAATGTTGGTGTGTTTACTCACCTTGTCACTACAATGTACGTTACCCCAGTAATGTAGGTGTGTTTACTCACCTTGTCACAACAATGTACGGTACATCTGTAATGTAGGTGTGTTTACTCACCTTGTCACTACAATGAACAGTACACATGTAATGTAGGTGTGTTTACTCACCTTGTCACTACAACGTAAGGGGATACCTGTCATGCAAGCAACAATGAAAGGACTGCCTCATGCACTTGAAACAATGTTTATATTAACATTACTTCTTTGTTACACATGCAGTTTCTGGTGGTATTCTGAGCATCACTTTGGGATTTAGTAATAATTACCCTTCACCATATCGTTAATACATGTTTATAGTAATATAGTGCAGCGTTAAACTGACATCACTGTATTATCTAGTCCTACCTATGGTAATGCTGACTGTACTGGTCATGTGGTACGTGTTCCCGTTAAAGTTGTTCGTGGCCTCACAGACATAGTCTCCAGATTGGGCAATCTTGATGTTTGTCAGTTGAAGTTGTGCTGAGTTGCCGACCTGTCTTCCATTATGCCGCCAAACATACGTAGGAGTAGGGTTACCCTCGGCAGCACAGGTCAAGGTCAAAGTGGTGTCCTCGTTATGAACTGCTGCGTTTGGACTCTTTGTAATGGTAGGCGCTCTCACTTTGTCTGTTTGTCGTAAAACAACATTAATCATGTATAACTTAAGATACGAATAAAGAGCTAACAGACAACCTTAGTATATTAATATTCCTTTCATCTAAACACCTTAGTATCAAAAACTTATTTTCTTCATTTTTCACAGTTATTTATATAATCAAAGACATTTGTAACGCTAAAATGTATCATCATACCATATGTTTTTCCTTTTTACTGTATCAAAAGAAAAAAAGATATTGGTCAAAATGACCCAATACTTTCGCCATAACAACATACAATATCATTATGAATCTTATTATAATTGATAACCAAGTAATAATATACACATTTACTTACACGTTGATGACATTAGTTAGTTTAAAGTAGGCGGTGTCTGTGGGGTCGTTGATGGTTTCCTGTTGTAAGGCACACTTAACAATGATACCGTCGTCGTCGTCTTTGGTCATCGGTATAGAGATGACACTACTGCCGGTGAAGGTACAGTCGGTACTAGGGGATGTCTGTGTTGTAGAGTCTATAGTGGTACCAGTACCGGCTGTGGTACCTTTGTACCTGGTCCATGAGAAGGTCCCTGCCGGCCGACCAACATTACCGGTACAAGTGAACGTCACCGTCTGTCCCTCCTCAACATTAGATGACGGCACCACTTCCACTTCATTAAATGCTATGGCCTTAGGCTTTGCTGTGAACATCAAGTAGAGGTATGTAAACATGGAACATTTATATACATACACGAGTATTTTGGGAATTTATCATCTGTAATAAACATGTAAGCATGATGTGAAGTAGGTCTCACATGTACGTAAACAAGAACTTATATTTATATACCATTTACTTTCCATACACATATAGAGCACAACAAAATAAGTTCCTCGTATGATATTATGTTAGGTTCAGTACCCCTCATTAAAGTGCTTCAAGAAATATCTCTAAAAGGGCCAAATTGTGATAAACGCTGTAACAAAAAGTTTCCCTGCGTTCCATAGACAACTGTAGCGCTAAACCCTTATATGGTTAAAATTCTTTACAAAGAAATGCCTTCTTGTGTGAATTTTTTTCGGATATAATTAAAGATCTGACTACAAGAATTTATCTTTGGTACTACACGAACATTACAAAACATATATTAATAGATCATGGATATTATAATGATATAAACCCACACTTACCTCTGACTG